GGCTGTAAATGGGCCCCTGGGCTCGGCAGAGGGCGGCACAGCCCCTCGCAGCCATCGCATCCTCCTGGTTTGGGGTATCTCGGTTAATCCCTGCGATGGGAAAAGGTGGCTGGCTGGGATAGGGAATCAGGATTGTTTAGGAAGACTTGAGTGAGAGCAGGTGTGGTTAGAGGTCCTTTAAAGGAATTCTCAAAGTATTGTTACGTTAGAGCATCAGCGCATGGGATGTTGCGAAATTATTTCTAGTTTCCATTTCGTTGTAACCACAGAATGGCATGGGTTGGAAGGGACCTTAAAGCCTATCTTGTTCCATCCCTGCCGTGGGCAGGGACACCTTCCACTAGCCCACGTTGTTCCAAGCCACATCCAACCTGGCTGTGAAGCCAGAGACAGTAATATATTGCCAAATTATTTCTGCTGGGAGCTTTAAAAAGGATTTATTTTTCTATACATCAATCATTATGGTATCTTAAAAATCTTTATATTGGACTTTCCCTTGGTTATTGTAGTTAGTCTTCAATGAAGATGAGAATTTCCCACCTTTTTCCTGCCAAACATGTCCACACTGTAATTCCCTAGGAGCAGAGTGTGAGAGATGGATCTAAAATCCCTACAGAGCAGGCTCAGTGCATGTTGCCTCACACTTGCTTCCAAGTTCTTCAGTTTTCTCTCTTGGCACAGTCTCAGAGTGTGTCAAGAGAGCTGTGAACTTGGAAGAAAATGAAAGTAATTCCCTGGAAGCAGCAGTTCCTGACCTGGTGCTGCTCCTTCTGTACACAACTGGAAGGGAAAAGCCACCAGCAAATCTTTCTTGGCTGCTTTGCTCCAGTTTACACAAACCGGTAGGACTTCCTGTCTTCAAAGGAACTGACTCATTTTTGAAGTCTCTGAACTTCCATTCACTGAGAGTTTTGTAGCTGTGAGATTTTGTGCTACACTTCCTCGAGGTAGGATTGAGCTGGAGACAGAATCACAGAATCAATCAGATTGGAAATGACCTCTGAGATCATAAAGTCCAATCTCTGACCTAGCACCACCTTGGCAACTAGACCGTGGCACTGAGTGTTGTTGGCCAGACACAGATATTGTGCTGAGATCTTTGGGATCAGAACACTCCACGTGTGATCCTTGGAGGAGGTCAGGTTCCTGCAGGGAGGATTTCCAAGGTGAAAGCCAGGAGGTGTCAATGCAAATCATGCTCAGCATGTCCTGCTATGATCCATGTTGTGCAGGATGAACAGCTGGATCAGGGAGGCCTGGATTTTTCTGCATTGTATCACAACACACTTCAACTTGACACCTTAGAGAAGATAAGGAAAAGGTAATATTTAAGTAACAGGATTCTGAATGCTACTTTTTCCTTTCTTTTTCAGCCAGGAAGATTCTTCAGGACTTATGGAACAGATTTTGAGGGTCACCAATGCAGATCCTGACCATGACTCTGGGTCCAGTCAGTGTCCTGAACATGAGACCCTTGAAGTGGATATTCTTCTCTCTCCTGGTGTTCTCTGTGATAACAATGTGGTACATAACCTTTTCCTCTAACACTGTGATTGAGGACATAAACCTGATGTACTTCTATGAGTACGAACCCATTTACCAGCAGAACTACCTCTTCACACTGCGCGAGCGCTTCAACTGCAAAGACATCAACCCATTCCTGGTCATCTTGGTGTCTTCAAGCCCCAAGGATGTGAAGGCCAGGCAGGCCATCAGGGTAACCTGGGGCTCTCAGAACTTCTGGTGGGGCCAGAGAGTCCTCACCCTGTTCCTGCTAGGCCAGGACACCCATGGAGAAGACAACGTGGCGGCCCTGTCGGTGGAGGATGAGAGTATCCTCTATGGTGACATCATCCGCCAGGACTTCATGGACACCTATGACAATCTCACCTTGAAGACCATCATGGCATTCCGGTGGCTCACTGAGTTCTGTTCCAATGCCAAGTTCCTCATGAAGACTGATACTGATGTCTTCATCAACACCCCCAACCTGGTGAGGTTCCTGCTGCAGCTGAAATCCTCGAAAAACGTCTTTACTGGGTATCCTCTCATCGAGAACTTTGCCTACAGAGGCTTCTACAAGAACAGATACATCTCCTATGAGGAATATCCATTCAAGCTGTATCCTCCATACTGCAGTGGCATGGGATATATATTGGATGGCAAACTGGCTCTGAGTATTTATGAACTGATGAGCCATGTCAGACCTGTTAAATTTGAGGATGTTTATGTTGGGATTTGTTTAAATATACTTAAAGTCAATGTCAGTATTCCAGAAGATGCAGAACAATTCTTTCTTTATAGAATTAATTTTGATACCTGTAAGTACAGACATTTGATTGCTGTTCATGGCATTGCAGCAAGTGAATTCATCGAGTTTTGGCAGGAGTTGTCATCCAACACTTCCGTCACTTGTCCTTGATTCTGGATTAACACAGAAACTTCAGCCTATTTGGTGTAAAACTAATGGCAATGCAAACCAAAACCAGTTCTAGAGATGCCTTTGGCTGCTGGAGCAATACAGCAGTGACAGCATTTCTCTGGGACATTCCAGCACTCCTAAATCAAAATACCAGGAATTCACAGAGCACTTTTCCATGTGTGTATCCTGCATGGTACTTTGGAATGCACTGTCCCACCTGCCTCCGACACCTCACCATGGGATTTCTACCTGAATCTTCTGCAAAGTATGAAATGTCATCAAAGAATAATATTTATGCCAATAAACTAGCTTTGAGGATGCTTCCCAAATTCCTGCCCAAATTCCTGCCTGGATTGTTTTTATCACTACGCTCCTAGTATTTGTTGTCTGCCCAGTCTGAAACTTAAACCAACCTTCTCTCTGTGCATCACCTCTGTGACCCTTCAGTCACACCTCAGTATTCAGATGTATCACCTCTGTCATGCTTCCAAGAGCCTTCCAAGCCTGTGGATCCTGTGGGATCTGCAGGAGCTGATGGGGAATTGTTGCAATGTGGTGCACTTTGTGTGTGTGTGTCTCTCTATGTATAAACCAGAATTGCTTTGGTGTCTTTGAGAGTGTTCGCAGACTACTGGAGTGGAGTTCATGTGCAGTTTGGTTATTAGACAACCCAAAAACGTTGGGATAATGGGATATATGGGTTGGGATAATCAAACCCCCCACATGTAAACCCCTGTGCGTGTGTGTTCTGATGCATCCCAAGAGTTTTGGAGCCCTTAGGGAAGATGAAACCAGAAACATTTCTACCGTGATTTGTATCTGTTTCCAAAATGATTTCCTTTCATCACATTTTAAACTGCAATAAGGAAGAAATTCCAATATTAGCATTTTAGAGAAAGACCGGTTTTTAATCACTTTATTCATATCAGCAAGGCCCAGTTTTCAGTAGTTTACACTTCTAATGGACAACAATACAGAATCTGCAATTGCATGAACATAATTAATCTGGACACATCCACTACAAGGGGGAAGAGACTACAGTTACATCCTGTGCCGAGTGCTGCATCGCCCTCAGGCCACTGTGCTCCAGGGATTCACATTTGGCTCTCCGAATTCCACATAGTCTCTTAGAGACAAACCACAAGAGGTGCAGAAACCTCCAGTACCACATTTGAGGTTTCACCAGTGTCTTCTTTATGTTGTGATTATGATCAGTATTGAGTTTGGCTCTTTCCAACAACTGCACATGAGGATTGGATGGAATTAGAGGGGTTTTATAGGTATAAAAGTGAGGTCTTTGGGACAACACTCTCTAGATAAGTATTTCAGGTGTCAGTTCTAAGGATGTATGTTAAGAAGCTCAAAGTTTTTCAAAAATAAAGCTTTTGTTGTTGTTGTTAAATAGCTGAAGTTACAGTATTGCATAACCCAGGGGAGGATGCTCTTGGATTCCTAGCAACAGGTTAAACTACAGCTGTGCTGTGGCTTTAGCATCTGGGATTTGATTGTTGTTCTCTGGGCAGATCCTGAGAGCTCTGTGAGCAATGTTTGACTTGTTCTATGATTGTTCATACATCTTAAACCCCCAAACCCTCTATTTTTTTATAAGCGTGCTGTGCTAAATGCTCAGAAATAAATTATTTATCATAAGAACACAGATTCTACAGCACAGTTTGTATTGCTTTCCCCCCCCCCCCCAACACCCAAAATGTAATTAGGACTCTGCAGCCTTCAGAAAATGGATAAAGCAGAGAGTGCTCCTGGTGAGAGGGAAATGAGTGTCAGGGAGATGTGGCTGTGAGCACTGCCAGGGACACACCTGGCACCTCCAGGTATCCTGTCTGTGCCTCCAGGGCTGACACTGATCACAGGGTACAAGACTTTTGCTGTCACAATTGAGGGTTTAGCCACAGTGATCCCTTTGTGCCACCTGAAATGAACTGTCATCTCCAGTGACAGCAACTCTGCTCCAAAATCACTCTATAAAATGCTCCTGGTTTGCTTACAAAAAAAACCTCATTTCCAACTCTGGTTTGTGTTTGAGTCTGACCTTATTATTGCTTAAAAGGCTATAAAATTCCTACCTAAGCTCCTGTTGCTGCTTAAAGCCATTAGCAGGGAGGTTTCTAGTGTGAGCAGCCATGCAGGAGGTGAAAAACCTTAAGACCATGAGCTAATCTGAGCACTGAAGTCAGGGGTGAGCCCAAATGTTACTGCATCTGTCTACAATAGTGTGCTAAAAATGCCTAAACCACAGGCTAAAATTTTCTAGGTTCTTTTTTCTCCTGCAGCAAGAGGTTTAGAAAGCTGTGTTAAATTAGAATTCCAAGTACTTGTGATGTTGGTAGGAAAATTGGGTTTTCTGCCCTGAAAAGCCTAATAATGATAATCTATTGAGCAAAGGTATTTGGAAATTGCTGCTGGATGGGGAGCAAAAGGGGGTTTTGGTGTGGAATTCCCAGCCTGAGCTACCTGGGTGTTATTTCAGAGGAGTTAAGTGCTGAAATGCTTTGTGTGCAGTCTGGAACAAACAAATCCAAACTAAACCATGAGGCAGCACATGCTGCAGATATAGGGGCAATATTCCCAGTGGTATTACCAGGATGTTTGGAATAGTCTCCTAAATTTTGCCTTTCATTTCCTAGTCCCTGCTAAAGCATTTCAATGCCTAGATGCACCATAATTAATGTCATTTCATCATATTTATTTCACATTTAAACTAAAACCTGATTGAAGGTTAACCAAGGATGTGCCACTGAATTCCTGAGGTGTCTCTTGGTTTCCTTAGGCATACTGAATGCAGAGCTTTGCACCCTGTTTCCCAAATTCCCATTTCTCTGGAGCAGCCTGGACCACTCTGGGCATTTATGAAGTACTTACAGGTTGCCTAAGGCAGAGGTGACAGGGACAGAGAGCTCAGGCTTTCTGCATTCATCCCTGGGAGGCACTGGCACAGGTTGCCCAGAGAAGCTGTGGCTGCCCCATCCCTGGAAGTGTTCCAGGCCAGGTTGGAGCAACCTGGACTAGTGGAAGGTGTCCCTGCCCATGGCAGGGGTGGAATGAGATGAGCCTTAAGGTCCTTCCAAGCCAAACCAGGTGCTGGTTCACCTCGAAGTAAAGTGCAACCTCCTCTGAGCTTGCAATAAAGACATACATGTTTGGCTGAGTGAAAAGATCTTCCAGCCCAGCCCAGAGAGGTTCTTATCTGCGGTGATCCAACTGGAATGTGTCAGGGAAGCTGTTGTTAGCAGAGCTGGATTGCTGCAACACTGTGGGTTTGGTCTCTCCTGTGTTGTGGGGGATTTTGGGCAATGAAGCTCCAACCTGTCCTCGCAGTTCATTTTTGTTCTGTCTCCTTTCATTTCTGTCTCCACTGTTTCCACACACACTGGGTAGAAGTGGTGCAATGCTCACACACTGTGGGTTTGCAGTTGTTTTTCCAGCTCCAGCTCCTGCTCCTGTTCCCTTTGGAGCTAACAGCTACATAACCACTGGAGTTTGCCCTGTTACAGCTAGATGGGTTTGAACTTTATGAGAATTGCCTCCAGGTGTGAATCCAGTGTGGCTAATAACCACTGCTGATGCCTTGTCCTTAGCTCATGGAGACAGGAATGAGCAGTGTAGGGATTCCATAACAAATGCAACTAGATCCAAACAGCTTTTCCCAACTGGTGTTTTTAACACAACCGAATTTTTCTTACCAGGAGAAGACAAACCACACGGACT